CTATGAGTGTGGGAAGAGATTTTAAGAATAAACGATAGTCAAGCAATTATACATCAATCATTTCACTGTCCAGAAGATCATTCTCAAGAGAAGATTTCAGACAATTGCTAACTTGCTTCTGCCAGGCCACAGAAAGCAAGATGCCAAAAATGTTTCTAAGAACCCCAAAGTTTTATCTTGTGATCTAGTAATAGTTCTCTTATCACTGTTTATGTCACAATACATGAACCTACCATTAGAAAAAGCTGCACGAATTATAGCTACATGGGTCACTGAAAGAAATGATATATGTTAATTCTTGTTGAATAAATCACTGCAAGCTCAATTTTTCATTCCCCCCTCCAGTTATATCAGTTTTATCTTTATGTACTGTTTGAATGAAAATAAAGTATTGATATGTCCATTAAAAGGAAGAAAAAAAAACCCTGTACATTGCATAAACCTATTCTTTCACATGTTTGTATGCTGAGTATATTAAATTCTGTAATGTTCTTAGGAAAATAGAAATCCCAGCACTTCTCATTGTCCTCATGTTAAACCTAAATACATTACAGGAGACCACAATCTAAACATGGTGAAAGAGATTGGCTGCAGGTTGGCAGTAGAGTGAGATAGCCTTGTATATTTTTTCCTTATGTTGAAAAAAGCTGAATTGAAAGAATATTCTGAATTTGTGCATTTCTGTAACAAAATTTCATGGCTAAAATTAATGTCATTCACATTTAAAGTTCAGTATTCTGATTCGTATGACCCAGATCTATGCAGTGACTTAATTCTCATTGTTTCTCAAGACATTCTCGTTTACACTCTTTTCATTTCTTTCATTTTATTGGTGAACTGCCCAGTGTTATTTTTTACAGGTTGAGCAGCAAGATTAGTCTTATAAAGAAACAAGTACCGTATATACTCGAGTATAAGCTGAGTTTTTCAGCACATTTTTTGTGCTGAAAAAACCCCCTCGGCTTATACTCGAGTCAGATTCCCCCTGAAAAAAAAAATGGTGTGGAGCTCCGGAGCTGGGCAGCCGCTTCCCTGCTTCCGTGTTTCCTTTGCAACTTGTAAGCATGGGGGTAATCGGAAGCAGAAAAGTTCTTGCATGAGGATATATTGTTTTTTCTTTATTTAACTGTTTTTAGGGGGGG